TTAATAATAATAGCTAAAAGTATAAAGGTTATGAAAATCACTATTAAATAAATGTAGAATACAAACCATAATTTTAACTACGAGTAAGTTTCGCATTAGTATTATTGGAGTTCCTTCTTTAAATGACAGTAATAAGGTAGGTTAATGACAAATTGAGAGGCATTTGAATACCTAAGATAACAGCTTATTGTTATATTGTTATTTAATTGATTTTTCTTTTGATTATGTTGTTGTTAGCAATTTGCATTTGTGTTTAAAGTGAGTTTCTTATGTTAAGTATGCGATTGTAATGTCATATGCTTAATCTGTACCATTAATATTAGTGAGTAAAGTGGTGTATGGATTTCACAACCATTATTTTACTAGAGGTTGTATTTAACCACAACGGGCTCTGTTGCTAGTTACATCATAAAATGGAAGGAAATTTGTCACTACTGTAATATACTAAGAAGAAATCATTTAACATTGTAACGCTCCTTTTACACTAAGGTTACTCACGTTTTTCACCGTACCGGTATTATTTTGGTGACAAGAAGGGTATGAGAGCTTTCACGTTACACAGTTACGGTGACGGCAGAGAGCTGTTCCGTCATGTTGTTAATGGTTTCACAATGCCTTAAAAAAGAATGAACAAACACATTGTAAGTTAAGTATAAATAACTAGGTTGACACGTATATCCTCAAGACCTTTTAGTCTTATTTTGTTCTCGTTTCTGGAAACTCACAAGTTATTTATTTATATTTTCCACTCTAAATCTTCAAAGTGGGAAAAGAAGCGAAGCGTCTACGACTCGTAAAATATAAACAGCCAATGAGACGGCAGTGTTTGTAAAATATGAGTGCGGATAGTAAAACAAGTATTTCGGTAACAATAAACATTTCACTGTAGTGAGCGTAACTGAGGCATTTCGAGGTTTAGAGGATAAACCTCATTGTCGGAATTCGAAATACATTTGAGAAGATTTTGTGAATTTTTGTTTTCTTATAAATCTTTGAGTGAGTTGCAATTTATTCTATTCTCATATTCAGACATCTTGCGCCTAAATATATTTTTACGTAAAATGTATGATTATTGTTTTCAAACTCAAGTTTATTTTTGTCAGATTCACGATTATTGTGGTTAAACCTACCTACGAAAAAAAGTTGACGCTTATAATAAATACAAATACTTAAACTTACAATGTTGTCGAATCGCCAACATAACATTCTGGACAGCGCAACAATAAATGTGTTATTTTTGCACGAGGTTTAGTAGAAAATACACTATGTAATATTTTAACACATTACGGTAGTCATTTTAATAATTTACACGACTCAAAACAGGGATTGTGAAAAACCCCATACTATCTAATTTACCTTTAAGGGAAGTGATTATGAAATTTGACCGTATTGAAGAGCCAGAGTGCAGCGCCGGGCTACGTCACGTCAGCAACATTGGAGTACTCGGCCCTCGAGTGAAGAACACCTCCTCAGCAACAAATAGGCCTACATTTTAACTTATTGTTTTAACCACGACCATTACAAGTCATTATATCGTTGTTAACTATACAGTGAAGTGAAATATAAATACAGTGTAATGTAATATTTTCAATAAATATACTTTATGTGCTGTTTTTGGGAAATTTTAGTGACTTGCTTATTTGTTGAGTAGAAATAGTATAGTAGTTTTACTACGTGCATTGAGTGTAGTAACAAGTATGCTCTTAACTAGAAATTGAGCATATTAATTGAGCATTGAGCATATTGTAGTAGGTATAATTTAATCTTATTTAGACTCTACTTTTAATCACATATTTAAAACAAACGTATACGTTCTCACGCGAGTGCATAATGTTGTATTTTTATATTCACTGTTTTTGCAGCCATCTACATTTACTTAATGTTTCAGATTGTATTTTACTTGTAATTTATATTATCAAAGTTGTTGTTGTTATCACATAAACTGTTTTGATTACCTTTTTATCATTGAGATCTATTTTATTTTAGCCATTTTATATACAGGGTGTCCAGGACAAACTTTACCAGATTATTCGAGAGGTCAAAAAAGCAAATTTTCAATTCTACATGTGTCTTATCTCGAACCATTTTGCGTCTGTCTGGATTTTTTAAAATCACTTTTATTACACCTAGTTTGGCTACATTCTTCTAGTCTGACATTCTTTCAAAAATGTGTATTCGTCTAACTACTACCTATGTGCAAAAAACCTTTTGCTTCGTTTCAAAATCGCAGCTTTTAAAATATTTTATGCCAAACTCCACAAAAACCGTTTATAAAAAACAGGTTACATAAAATTTAGTAAATGATGCAGATTTAAACGTCATCTGATAAGCTTAGTTTGGACAAATGATAACTGAGAAATTATGTTTTTCTAGATATATACCTAAAGTTAAAAAAAATGTTTTGATTTACAATATAACAGCAGGATGACCTCGTCTAGTTTTCGAAACATGTCGGCAACTACCAATGTGCACTTTAAAAAAAGATATTATATATAGATTTGTTTAGTTTCTAAGAAATTTATATGCGGTTTGCAGCAGTCATTTTTTACAACTTACTAAGATTTGTTTAAAAATAAACAATGATTTAACTTGTTTAAGAAAACAGAGGTTGCAGTACATGTTATAGTACAGTAAAGGATATACACATCATAGATCGAATTAATTCGGATCAGTTTTAGAAACTAAAGTCAAAGTTGTTTATAGTTTTAAAATAATATAATCCCTTGGCCTTCCGGCTTAATAGTGGGCGTGTTTACATCTTGATGTTTCGCAGACACAAAAAGACAGACATCGATTCTGGCCTCAGTCCAAGAGAAGTAGACATATTCTTAACTCTTTTAAGCGTTGGGGGTTGAAAGTTTGCTTTGTTTATTGTTTCGTGGAGGGTGAAAGAGAAGGGTTCAACTACTCTATTGAGTCTAGCGAAGCGAAAATACGACTTGTCGTATAAAATTAGTTTTGCATCATTACATTGAGGCAGAGGCACAATGCTGAGGGGTTTAACTTGAATATGAGTGAAGAATGAGTGTAGAAAAATTTGGGCTTTGAGTACCTTTGTCACGGCCACTTTTAAATGCTCAATGATGAATGATCAAGGATAGCTTCGGCCCATCAACAAGCTACTAACTTGCGCAGGATTTTACCGACGACCCTCTGAATACCATGCGAGCACGATGCTACTCGAACCACCCACTCAGATACACGAAATTAGTCGGAAAATTATTCCGTATCATCACTTTTTGATCAAATTATATCTACAAGAAAAAACCCCATTAATATATTTCCTAGACATTTATCGATTACATTTATCCTCCAAAACAACATAATTTTTACTTTTTATATTGGGAAAATGGAAAACATTGTAATTTAACAAGAAATGTTCTGATGGTTCCTAGTTTTTATCATGCGTAAATAAATATATTACTATGTGATCAATAAATTTAATTTCCAATGGTTTGGAAAGTAAAATAAATACTTTTAAGAACGATAATGTTGACAAGCTTCCGTTAACATAATCCGTATAGTAGCTTCATTAGTTCACTATGCATATTCTTAAACATTTTATTAAAACCAAATTGGTACTTTTGATTTGATTTAGTTCGAGAAACATCTGATTGCCGCCTGCTTGAAATGGGATTTCATTACGTGCATGGAGCGAGTATGAGAACAGTCATTTTACTGGTCCGGTGAACACCCATTTTCCGGACTAGTGTCCGTAATAGGTATAGACATACTATTTCTTTAATTTATGTCCACACCCTGTTAAAGTAGAAAAGCTAATCCCAAAATTAGCAACATAATTAATGAACCGCAAGACAGACCAAACTTAATAACTTATGTTTAAGGGTTTATTTTTGGACAAGAAAAATTATTATAACAATGGCGAGGTTAAGGTTGTGTTGACAACAATCGTAAATCATTGCACTCAGACTATCGTGTGTGTGCGTGAGTGTGAGTGTTGTGTGTTTTTGTGTCACGGTCGACTCTACGACCCAGTAACCAAAATATCCAAATCAGATTCAAGAACTCATGAATTCATTTTGTTTCAAGACTGTTTACGCCAACTGCAGACTATTATTTATCGCCTGGCTAATCAGTTATTGATGTTCCAGTCGTCTCTATGTAGTGTGGATTGGGATTGTTCGTAAAACACAATAAAAACCCCCTTTACTAATTATGTTTCTGATTTGATAGTAAAAAATAGTTAAATCGTGTCCGAATTGTGATTGTGGTTGTATAGTAGCTGCACTCATAATATGTATACTGTAGACCTACTCTACTAGTTCTGTAGTTATTTTGATAACGAACTTATACTTTCTTTAATGTACTTTCTTATTAAATGGCGACCAGGATACAAAGTAGGTATTTTAAGCCAAGTATGAATGGAGATGAATGTAGGATGAGTGGCGCGATCTTGTAGTCTTGTTAGTGACTAAGGCAAGCTTTTATTACTAAAAGTAAAGCAATTACTGGTAATCACTATGCCAGAGAATATGGTGTTGAAATATTTTCTAGAATCACACTTTTCGAAATTTTACTATTTTTATTTGAGTATGATGGAATAGTTACTTGTCGGGAGAGGACACTGTATAGAATATAGTTCTTTCAACCTATTGTAAACAACGGTTACACACCTCATCATTTATTCTGTAAAACAATTGACATGTAATTAAATAGTGTAAATGTAGTTGTGGGTCCACGTATTCTTTTTGTTGCCAACGAGAAAGGCTTTTGCTTGTTTTGGCAAAGTGCCTACAACAAGGAGCTAAGAAGGAGGAGACATCAACATTAACTGTATGAAAATGTACAAGGCCAATTTTCTGGCCAGATTCATGACCTATCTTTTTTGAAAATTTTAACCCAGTCGGATGTAGTTGTGCGTTTAATTGGAACAAATACTTCTTAATATACAATCGTTAGATTATACCGACCAATCCTTACAGTAAGATCACGCAAACCTGTAATAAATAGAAAATAATAGTTTTTCATTTTTATTGCAGGAACTGGAACGTTTGGCCGTGTCTGTCTTTGCAGAGAAAAAAGTTCAAATAAATATTTTGCCATGAAGATCCTGTCCATCAGTGATGTCATCAGATTAAAACAAGTCGACCATGTGAAAAATGAGAAAAACATCCTGCTCCTAGTCAGACACCCTTTTATTGTAAACATGTGAGTACTGTAGATCATTTTGGAGTAATTTGTGTGCTACTCGTAGTTGATCTTGAATGCACCAAGGGTGTAGCGTGTAGATTACTGACTATATGCTTTCTGGCTGTATCATTAGCTAGGACCATTTTATATTATTACTTTAATGACCAAGCACAGCTGGGTCCGGTGTTGAACCATCAAAAAGCTACTGACTTTTTACGTAATCAAATTGGCAACCTTCTGATGTTATTAGCAGAGCACTTCGTTACCTAACTATTGGTCTAACTGGAATAAAACTGACTGTTGACAATTAAATATTTCATATTTGCTTGATATTTGTTTAAAACCAATAATTATTTGTGTGAACAAACTGTAAATAGAGAATAAGTAGGACTACATGCACTAAAGTCTTAAATACATCTTTTGTGTAACTCTCCTAGAATTACAACGTTGTCAGCTACCTATTTCAGGTGCAGAATATCTAATAGAGAAGATTGATTACTGTTTATAACCTCTAGTTTTTTTGTTTTTTTTAAATACCTAATTAACTGTTCTAACTATAGGTACTCTATTACTGTAGGCCTACTGTACTCTTTAAAATTTAATTTGAGGTAGTAAATAGGTTATTAAGAATTTCAGAGTGCATTAGTCTCATGCAAGTGTCCCCTCCCTAGCTATTCTTTAGTGCAGTTTCCTCTTCAACAAAATCTTTTCCTATATCATTCACATGAATACAGCCAAATACGTTTCAACTTGCAACTGCAAAACTGTAAATTTAGTTTCTAATTTTATTCTCTCGGCCAATTTGCTAAATTCTCCAAAGCAAATATGATATAAAGGTAGACAGGTGCTTAGGCTTTGTGCCAAATAGCTACAAGGAGTACTTGTGGAGATTAAATCTTACTCCAACATAATAGAAGAAACAAGGTTCAAACTGTCTCTCTTTCGTGCTAATGAAGATTTAAAGTCCGTTGTTTGGACTTTCTTAGTTGGCACCGATTGTATGAATCGATTGGGAAGGTAGTGTTCTAATTGTAGTTGTTATCTGAAATCAATGATCAAAAACTATTTGGCGAAAGATGTAGCTTATACTGTCAGAGAGAATTATTAATGTTTGTATTATGCGTATCAATAACAATAATCATATATGATAGGATATATTAACTCGGCTTTGAACTGTTAAAAAATAACTGATTAGGAAGATATGGTTATTATTTTAATTTAAATCTAAAATCAATGTAATAATTTGGGAAAGGCTGTATTTCAAGGTTTGAAAAAGGTTGAGTTTTCTTCCCACCATCCAGCATGGCGATTGTTAAAGAAAATACAAATTCACTAATTACGATGGAAAAGTGTTGCAATAATCTTAAAAGTAATATAAATTCACCATCACCAAAAATAAACTTTAAACAAGGAGTTAATAATATGTGCCTATGGGTTATATTGGTTAACACTTGAATCATAAAGTAATTAAATAAATAAAATAGATATTTCTTTCTACAAGAGGTCATGAACACTTATTAACACTTAATTTAAGAATACATAATATTGCCAAGATTATCCCAGAAATAGTGTACTTATTTAAGACAACTCCTTGGTACAATATTGGCCATGTAGATGATTAATTTTAGAAACCTTTCTTAGGGTTCGAGTTAAACTTTAAAATGAATTACGGAGGTAACAATAATAACCGAACAGACAACTAATACTAATTTAAGAATACATAATTCGATTAGGCCTTAATTATGAAAATCCTGCCTGTTCTGAGTAAAATGAATTGCAGCTCCATCTCAATTTCTGATGCTGCTATGTAAATTTTCGACTTTGACATCAAGATTTCTTTTGGCTTATTCACCATATGAATTGTAATCAGATTTTGTCCAACCTTTTAATTCTGAGAATTGATTTTTGAATGTTTCTTTCTGCAGGAAGTGGCACTACAGAGATCCCAGTAACCTTTACATGCTGTTTGAATATGTCTGTGGAGGAGAATTGTTTTCATACCTGAGGAATGCAGGCACCTTCACAACGAGTACAGGTGAGTCTTCTAATCAATCAACATTGTTCAAAGATAAAAAATAAAACAGTTTGAGTTAAAACTGAAAAAGCAATGGGTTTGGAGGAATCTGATGAAGCAAGGCTGGCAGATAAGTAAATCAAACTAGACAAGATAATAAATTATGTCTTTTGTTTTTATTTTTTTTGCTTTGTTGGTAATGCTGTGAAGGGGAGGAGGACTTAACTAGGTGGCGTTTTTGTTGGACAAAATATTCGTTTCTTCATAAAAAAAAAACCAGAAAGTAAAACCTTGGAATAGTAGAACAAGTACAAATTTTAAGCGTTGACTATATTGATAGAAGGGGAAATCTCTTTCCTATGTTGAAGCTAAAACTAGTTTTAGAATAAAAATCAAGGTTACTGAACCAATGACCAAGTGTGCTGGATGTAAATAATAGAATATATGTAAATTCTATTGCAATGCACTGCTTGTGTATTTAATATATAGATTACTGTTTTAAGAAAATAAACGAACAGCTAATTTTCTGCCCTAGGGATGTAAAAACCTGCTCGGCCCCCAAATGACGATGACAGCTGGCATGAACAGTAAAACATAGCTTTCAGTCTCCCATATAGTAATGTGTTGAAAACACTTTTTGTTGTCAGATTATTTTACCAACACTGTAGTAACACTATTATATAGTAAGTATTTGGCTGCAATCTCTAAAACTGAGAGTTTCCATTACAAAACACTTCAAAAGAGCCATTAAACTGTCAAGAAACTCATTCAGCCAATATAACATGATTCAGTAGCAATTAATTGACTTGGACTCAAGTTTTAATGGCCTTTTATCATAAAACTCTACACAGAATACAGCAGTTTTGTTTTAAAGTTTGGTTCTTAATTAAAATACTGTGTTAAAAGAGGGAGGGTTATGGAACTGTTGGAAATTAAAAAAAGTTCTCTTGGTGTCTTATAGATGATACAAGCATTATGCAAAATACCATCTAATAATGTACAAGAGTTATATTGATGAAATATATAGTACAAGACATTCATCTTGATTGTTCATTCAGCTTATTGTCATTAGATTAATTATTAAATAATTATACTGAACTCAAGAAAGGTTGTTTATTTCTAATTTAACAAAAACTCAATCAAAATATAAAAACAATAACACAAAACATATGTAGAACAATTACCATATGTTATAAACATATTAACTACTACTGTCATCCCTCCTTCACAAGTCAAATTTATTTGGTGTTCTTCTAATCCTTTCCCCTCGTCTTACAACAGGAGCTGAGTCATTGTTATGTTCTTCTGACCTGGACGATTGACCTTTATTCACATCATGGGAGATTCTGAATGACTTGTCTCTTCTTAGGAACCATGAGTTTCTTCGGTATTCTCGTCCATCATCAGTCTGGATTTTGTACGATCGTGGTTCAGGACCAACTTGAACAATCTTTGCTCTCAGCCAACACTTTGGTTTGAATCTGAAAAGCACTGGTTCATCAAGTTTAAACTGATCAGGCTCCGTCTTCCTCATATCACCGTATAGCTTCTCTCGCCTTTTAATTTTTTCTAGCTGTTTGAAGATATTGAATTAGATGAAGTTGTTCAACGATTTGATAAGTTTTTTGTTGGTAAATCTAATGAAGTATTTGAGAGATTTTTGTTCAACAAAATTACACAAAACATATGTAGAACAATTACCATATGTTATAAACATATTAACTACTACTGTCACTTATAAGAAACTTATTAGAACATAAACTTATTGTGAGTTACTGAGCTCGTGGCTCAAAAATACCCAAATTGTCTTCCTTTTTTAGGGTTTCACCAAGGATAAACTGAAATAATTCAAACGATAATCCACCTTTTACATAATTTCCCTTAAAATTAAATGTTCACTAGGATCTAATTAATACCTAGACCTTAAATGATGGGATATTCTAAACCATGTAAAAATCGATTACACCTTAAATTATTAAGTTAATTGTAAAGATAAAGTGTAAATACTAAAACGTGAGTTTTTTCAATGAAGGCCTCCTCTAAGATAAAAGTGGTAATGTCGCAACCTCGGCCTACCGAAACAGCTATTGCACTAATTCAAAGTGGAGCTTCTGTGCATGTTTATGCTTACACAATTGCTATTACTGTTATTACCATGGCAATAGGCTGGCCGGTGCGACGTCCCACACACCAACTCTTACACCATTAACCTTTTGATCCCCAAGTGCCAATATCGTTTATTGACATGACAATCGAGAGTATCATAACCGATAACTAAAACTTCTCTTAAAACAATTTGAGCGAATAAAAATTGAAAATATTGCAGAAAGCTTTGCCTGACATGTCTTGCAACCTAGGAAGGAAAGTTAAAACAAAACAACTGCACACCTGGGTTTTGGATTAACAATAATTAATGTGGTAGACTGTAAAGGTCTGACTAATGAATAAGAGTTTTCTCTCCATCCAGGAAACACCACCATAGACCGAGGGTTTAAATCTTATTTCAGTTCTGGCCTACTTCCTGTGATTAGATCACGTATCAGTGGCAAAGCTTGTGGGAGAGGGTTAATTACCTAAAATAAACTATGGCTGACTCAGGCAGCGATATGAACCCGCCATGTTTTTTCCCCGTGCCACTCTCTCCCAATTGTCCCAACATTGTCACAGGTATTTCTACATAAGCTTGCACTTGGGCTTAACACAACATCTCCCGAGGCATTATGACGCCTAAATTCTAGATGATTATGATCATCTTCAATTATCGTGGCAAAATCCTGAATATATTCATAGGTCAAGGAAAGATTATCGTTTTCCGTGATTGGATCCAAACCCAGGATTTGGATCTCCTGCGGTTGTGTAGACTACATATCCATCGTCTCACGCAATCGAGGCAAAATCCTAAATTTCTCTTGCAGGAAAAGAAATGTCATCATTGTCTTCTGCGATAGCGTCAAAATATTGAACATATCCTGCATCTGTGGAGAAATTGTCATCCTCACCTGCGGGGGAATGTTGGAATGTCCTTGTTGGAATTTGTGATCGCTGCAAAAGTGTGTCTTTTAAAAGTGTGGGTGTGATTCTCGCAGACGTGTTCTGTGGTCACAATGTTATCGCGGTCATAAAAGCTTAAATCAAATCCCTCAAGCTCCCAGGCCAGGCTCAGCTCAGCTCTAAAAATTGATATTCTCTTCTAAAAATCAACACTTTTCAAAGCAAACTGATTTTGAACCAACCTATGATCTTGGCCCGAGACCCAAAGGTAACATTTTTGACCTTACATGAAGTAAACAAATTTATCTCACAGAAGAATAGAATGAGTTAATAGCTAGTGTTCTAGCCTCCTAGGTTAATTCACGATTTGTTCGTTAAAATAAAGTTCATTCTGTTATCCACATCGATTCTAAACACAGCCCTATAATTTTTCATAAAAATTTATGGTAATACTCATATAATTATTGTTATGATAGGTAAAAAAAGTTACCAAAAAATTTACCGAAAAAGTCCGGTCAAGGCTCGCAGCCCCCCGCCTCACTGCGACCCCTGCGTGCCTGCCGCCACTGGACTGGGGTGGAAGTTATTGGTCAGGATTGGTAATTTGTTTGTGAGTTACCTGTACCTCAAATCAAGCATTTTGCTATGTCTTACATAACCTTACTGTGTGTGTGTCAACCAAAAGTTTTACTATTAATCTGCCCAGACAGCACGTGAGCTTGGACCAAACTTGGTTTTTACATATTTCTGAATTGGTATGACAAACTTGGAGTTTGGAACCCACTACAAATTTAAAACAGCTTTGGTTAAGTGAACTTGTGTGAATGCGCCAAAACTAAACTTGTTTTATTTACATATATAACCTGGTTGGCCAAGTCCACAATTTAAACACCTAACCAGACCCACGACAAGCTTGTTCATGTGAGTCTAAAGTGAGCAGTGCCATATGACAAAAGAATTTTCCCTCCACCCCTACCCAGAACGCTCCTAAAACCTGTTTCTTTGTGCTGAACCACCATTTTTGTTGGATTTAGACTTCCTCACTCTCAGTTGTCAGTTCTCACTTATCTAGTTCTGGTGTTGTGAGTTACTCGTTTCGTTACTAGTTGTGAGTTTTGTTTATGGTTTTGATACCAAGACGAAGCAAAGAAGAATTAAGGGATTCCTGTAAAGGTAAGATTTAAACTCCATTGATAAAAAATATACTTGTGTTGGTTAGTCTATGATGATATAAGTAAGCTAAGTTAAGCAAACAATTAATTTCATTGCATCAAGAACCCGTAGAATTTTGTTTATAACCTAAACCTTTTGTGCTTTAACCTTTGACATACTCAGCGCTTCACTGAATCGACAACGTCACTCACTATACTATACTCTAATAGTCTACTGCTGAACCCAACAGAACAGTGCCAAAATTTGTGTTTGACCTTAACCATTATAGTCAATCCTAGTCTACAGATAAAAACAGGCCAAATCATTAGTTTACGTATAAAAGTAAAATAGTAAGAAATAAAAGTTTGATAACAATTTTGAAAACAAAGGTAAGTTAACACCCTGTGTTTGCAACACCAACAAACTCCAAATAATCAAATAATTATAATAACAAATAAAAATAATGAGAAATGATTTAAATGATAAATTTTAATAAACCAAATAATTCTAATGCAATTGTATTTTTTATAGATCTTCTGAAGCAAGCGGTGGAGTTGATGGGTTCAGAAAAGAAGTTGAAGGTGAAGTGGAAGATAGTGGGCGTTGTATTTATTATATTAATAAATTGTCTTGAAATGTGAATGTCTTGCTTTCTAAACCTCATATATAACCAATATTTTTTCAAGATCACTCATAAAATAGGCTTTATTTTATCATAAATCTTTCTTGGTAAAAAATTAATTATAAGAAAAAATGTGGGCTAGCAAATGAATGGTGTGAAACAGCTTATATGTTAAATAGGTATACATTATATTACTATTACTATTACTATAGCCTATTCTAATAATAATTATTATTATTATCTCTGATCATGACAGTAATTGAAGTATATAAAACTTCGTACCAAGTTCTGAGTGAGTCTATAGGTGTGAGCTTGTTTGCCCAAGTCTAAAATGTGCTAAAACCAATTCCAATATGAGTCTAGGCCAAGTCCAATATGAGCCTACTAAAAGCTGGCTTGGGTCTCCAAGTCCATAATGAGCCTGTTTAATTTATCAGTGTGAGCTTGTTTGCCCAAGTCTAAAATGTGCTAAAACCAATTCCAATATGAGTCTAAGCCAAGTCCAATATGAGCCTACTAAAATTGGGCTTGGGTCTCCAAGTCCCGAACAAGTCCATAATGAGCCTGCTTAATCCACCAGACCCGTTTTGTATCCACCATTCCAAGCTTAGAGTGGGTTTGTGCCCATGAGTTCACTGTAGGTTTGGGGTTGGGACTTGGGTTGGACTTGGGGAGCCAAACCCATAACAAGTTGAACAACTGCCAACTTCGGTCTCTAAAACAAGTCAAAACCAAGCCTACAGACTTTGGTCCCTGAGTCTAAACCAGGCTTGGGGACTTGGGCCAATGGACTTGGAACAAGTTCCCAGCAAGCCCATTGTGCTGTTGGGGTGTATTTATATGATGACAGTAAAACATTAAGGTGCCCCCCAAAACAGTACCCTGATACCTTAAACATTAAGCCACCCAAAATTTACCCTAATGCCCTAGAAGGTACCTTAAAGCCCAAATGCTAAGGGAGCTAACAGTTCTATATCGTCTCTTCTCTCCTTAAAATTTGAGATCGTTCAATGTTTCTACAGTAGACCATGCATAATGTATAATAATTGATTTTTATTCCAGCCAACTTCTACGCCTCAGAGATTGTGGTGGCGTTGGAGTACCTTCACTCGCTGTCCGTCGTCTACAGAGACTTGAAACCAGAGAATCTTCTGTTGGATAGAGATGGACATCTTAAGATCACAGATTTTGGTTTTGCCAAGGTCTTACATGACAGGTAACTGCTAGCTGCTTAAGTGTTAAATTGAATTTATAGCTAGCATTATACAAATAAGTCAAGGCCTTAGACCCTTAGAGCTTTAGACATTTCATTCATATGATCTAGCAGGCACAATGAACTAACTATATGAACATTCATGCATAATATACATTGGTAAGAGTTAGCAGCAGAATGCTACCAAATTAATAAATGCCAACTATTATAATCACCACTGAGATGGAAACACCATCTACGTGTGTATTTAACCCAAATATGAGTGAAGAATGAGTGTAGAAAAAAGTGAGATCATGGGCGTCCTTCTGACTTTTCCAAAAGAGGGGCCGGGGGTTGGGGTACAAAAAAACCCCAAGGGTAGTCTGAGGAGTACTTGAAAAAATGATTAAAATTTATATCTAAAATTCTTGCTTTTACCCTTGTTTAAACCTAAATTTGCTTTGTCAATTGATATGTTGTTGCCAGTGTTGGGGAAGCTACTTTTAAAATGTAGCTAGCTACAACTACTGCTACAGTTCCGAAAAAGTAGCTAGCTACAACTACAGCTACAATGAAATGTAGCTACAGCTACAATTTTAGCTACTTTTCTTCCAAAGACGTTACTTTTTATTCCACGCACATTAGGTAAATGTAAAATCAATTGCAACTACATTTTTATTGAACAAACATTTAAACAAAAAATGTCAGTATTGTATCTAACATTACTTGGAAAACAATTTATTCCTAGATTGTATTTAATTTGTTGGCATTATAAACCTAAAATTACAACAACAGAACCAAATAGTTGGGTGTCCCATCATCATATTTAGAACTTATTTTTTAAATATTGCATTATTTTTAAGCATCTTATATGTAAATTTCATTAAGTTCAAAGGACATACAAAAAACTATATTTTAAAAGCTCATTTTATTTCTTTAACATAGATTCATTTATAGATGTCTTATCAACAATTAAGACCAATAAAACTGTAAAACGATTATTTAAAAATACTTTTTTGTGTTACAGAGACTAGCCTCCTGAAATTGGAGTTTATTGCATTTCTTTACTTTTAATGTTAAAAAACGACATTGCTATAACTTTTAACCATAGTGATAAGTTACTTGTTCTATGAATAACACTTTTCAATATCAAGAAATCGTCCTTTATTGTCATTATGCATAGGGCAAATTGTGCTTCAACCTATAGTTGGTACAGAAAACAGTATTCAGCAACTTAAGTTATCCTGAAATCGGCTTTTGATTTAAACATGTTGAAATTTGTAAAGTAAAAATAACATGTAGGCCTACTTGGCTATGTAACAAAGTTGGCTGTAGTAGGCTTGTTCTTGCAAAGGACTAAACAGATATATTCCTAATAATTGAACTTGGTATTCGTCTTAACCCATAGCATAGCCTAGGAATAGGCCTATACAAGAGCTTTTAGCAGGAGTAAACTATGCTATTTTTTCAATCTAAGTTTCATATGGAGATTTTTTTGTTACAATTATCATGTAGTCTAGGCACATCTTAAATCTCATCAGGTAATTTCCTCTTTGTTAATTTAGTAAACCTTTGAACAATCTTTGTAATCTAACCAAGGAAGGGCTTGTGATGACGAACCACAATCAACAGCTGAAGCTAGACCAGCTTTCTCATTACTTTAAGGTTTAGTGTTGGGTTCCATTAAAACCCAAGTTGGTACACTATCAATATAATAAAGAAACTAAATTGATTACTAATTTCCCTGTCAATCACTTGCAAGCATTCAATAGCTTCTCTTGTCACCGGTATCGTTTAAACGTCGTCTGCAACTAGCGATTTTATTTTATCTGACAGTAATCATATAGAGTAGTAAATTAAGGAAATGAGAGCCAAAAATGTGGATAACACTCATTTAATGGCCTCCATGTCCACACAACGTTGTAATAGGGAATGAAACGGCTGCAACCAGCTGTATGAAGCCAAGGAAGTAGGCCTAATTTTTTTGAAAATCTCAGTTTGAAAGAGGTTGTTTCACGTAAGGTTGAGGTTATGATAAAAATCACTATCTCAAACAATGTTAATGTAGCGAGAAAAGTAGCTAAAGTTCCGCTACAACTACTTTAAAAATGTAGCTAGCTACAGCTAAAGCTATGAAATCTTAAAAGTAGCGTAGCTACAGCTAACGCTACAAAAAAAGTAGCGCGCTACTGTAGCGTCGCTACTTGTAGCGCGCTACTTCCCAACACTGGTTGTTGCTTTGTTTTTAAAATTTGAATAGGTACTTCCTACTGTGGCCTGTAAATCGTAAATCGTTTAATGTTATTGTTTAATGTTTAATCGTAATGTAAATCGTTTAACTGTTATGTTTTACTCCACAGACTGAAAAAAGAATCGGTTGTTTTGGACAGAACCCCTATACAAAATTCTCTAATTTTTCTCAGATTTCCCGACAAAAAAACCTGGTTTTCCCAGCCAGTCTTGATTCCTAGTCCCCAAGTGTACCTAGTATGGTCTGCGGGTCCGAGAATTTCATATTTTTGGGTCTGGTCGGACCAACGGTTGACACGAGAAATACGAACAGAAAATTATTGTTGGGCCAAGCTTGGATTGAATTGAGCTCAAATTTCTGCGACCACGGAGAGCTTTACGAAGATGCGCAATTAAAAATTGATGATTTTATTTTTATTGATGATGAACGATGATGTCCCATGACCGCAGGAGATGTTCAAGATCTTTTTAAACTCGGAAGATACTCATGATTTTGCTGTGATTACTAAATGTTCTTGATTTTTACATGACCACAGAAGATCTTAACGATTTTGTTGTGATCGTGGACTATGTACTCAACTGTACAATGACTGTGGAAGACGTTCATTATTTCACCGTGACTTCTGAAGATGTTAAAAGTTTACTGTGACTGCAGAAGATGTTTACGGTTTCGCCAAAATCGTGGAAACGGCCGAAATACAATATGTTCATGATTTCGCTTTGACCACAGAATATGTTCTCGATCTTACTGTGACTATTGAAGGTTTCTCAATTTTGCCATGACCGCAGAAGATGCTCTCAAATTTAACATGACCTTGGAAGATATTCTGTATGTTGCCGCGACCACGGAAGATATTCTCAATATCACCGTGACTGCGCAAGGTGTTCTTGATTATCCGCGACCGCGGAAGATGTTTTTTAATCTTCCCGTGACCGCAGAACTTTTTCTAGATTTTGCCACGACCTCCGAAGATGTTAACGATTTTGCTGTGTCCACAGATGACGATCGCAATTTCAACGTGACCACAAACTAAAACAGGTTATTCCAGTGTGGTTCAAAATTTCCGCATAGTTCTTGATTCAATACATTTACGCAAACCTCCCGGAATTCTCAATCTGTGTGGTCAGCCTGGGCCCTGTTTCATAAAACTACTAGTCTAGTATTTACTAGTCCATGGACTAGTAATACTAGTGTATTTTACAAGTCTACGTTTCATAAACCTACTGGTGTAAAATACTAGTTACTAGTGTAGGGACTAGTATTACTAGTGGTTTTTACTAGTCTAGACAGCAATGTGTTTCATAAATAAGTTTTACTCTTGTAAATTACACTGGTAAATACTTGCCATTTTCTAACAACCTCTCTACACCCGTATTATTTGAAGTAGACTAGTATTTTTGGAAAGAGAGTTATTTCATTACTCACATCATTTAAAAAAATGAATTATTAAGTTCTTTTTGCAAGTGCGAATTGGCTCACGTTTGCAATTTAAGATAAAAATAGATCTGTGAGTGCTAAAATGATAATTATTATTAGATATAAATTACAATTAATAAATTTGGCGTAGTACAAAATGAGTGAAATTGAATTTTATAATGTTTGTACAATCGCCCTATTAGAATTAATTATAATTATAAGTTATCAATTTCTGTGAAATTTTAGTATAATTTTACTTGAGTTAAATTTCATTGTTATATCAACTATTTAGCTATCACAGAGAAAAGATTTTTAAGCTTTGAGAGAAACCAAATTAAAACTGCATACAAAGATGTACAAAAATGTATCCAACATTGCAACATTAATCAGATTATTTTACACCCAAGGCTCTCGGTTTTATTTAAAGACATTTTAATAGGAAATAATAGTAAGACAATTTTAAAGAGGAGTTGCATTGTATTTTTTTAGGTGCTTATTATTTGTTTCCCTAAATAGCTAAAACCCTGTGATGTACTAACAATTTTGTAGGCCTATATTTGATTTTTGGGCGTTGGACTGAACTGCTTATCATAAAAACATGACTTTTTTAATCTATTTTGGTATTCCGAATTTGTTATTCAAAGTAATAAAAAAATTAGATGTTGATTAGAGCTTGTAAAGCATGTAAAAGTTTAATTAATGGAACTAAAGTATAGTGAGTGGTGCGGATTTGAACCTGGGACCCACCACATGAGAAGCGAAATCTCTACCTCTGAGCTAAGCGCATATATGCCATGTTTTACTATACTTGAAAACCTACTTTTCCATTGCTTGTAACGGCGTTGCAATTATTTGTTACATCAATAAACGTTTAGGCTTATTATTCATGGTTTGTTGACTCAAAATTAGAATATCACAGGATGGTTTTTAACCCAAATGTTCTTATGGATTCGAATATTTGAAAACATAGGTTAGGGTACTTGAAAACGTTCCTAACAAAATGTCCTTAGACGATTTAATTAACCCTTTGAGTGCCAACGTCCGGGGAACCGGACGTTTTTAAAACGAGCCAAAAGTGCCAACGTCCGGCCGACCGGACGTTTTTAGAACGAGCCAAAAGTGCCAACGTCCGGCTGACCGGACGTTTCGTAATGATCGAACAGCTGTCATAACAACCGAATAAATACTCGGATTCTTTTAACCCATATATTAACATTGAGTCGAAAGTTGCTAGATGCGATACATCGATTTTCGTTGGTCGAAATATCGAAAATTCGATTTTTACGAAATTTTAACCTAAAAATCGCCAGATCGCGCTCGGCATTTTTAGCGCGACCTTCGGGAAAAATCATCGGCATTTTTTGAGCGTTACTTTTATTTCTCGCCTGGCACTCTAAGGGTTAAATTCAAAATTTGAGCCTTCTTTTCTTTACTCATAGCAAGCTTAATTTTATATGTCAAAATAAAACAAAAACTATACAAATCACAGCGAATGCGGCAGCAACAGATCAATTTCCACCCAACTGTTGAGCGCCGCAACTAGGCCTACAACCGGCTAGCTACTACAATCACCGTGTTGATTGCAGCGACACGACGCCGCGCCGCGCCGGCGCGTCGGCGGGGTTATTGATGAACATAAGTAATAGCGTTTTGATAAATAATATGTGATTGTTTTACTTATGTGTCTATATAGTTATTAATTCAAAGAAAACACTGCGTTTCTACAACTATTTACTTTTTGTATCAAATGAAAACAAAATTTAAACCCTTTATAAAGCGCCAGAAAACCCGTGATTGAGGTTAGAAATTTGTTTTGAAAGTTTACCTTGTAAAGTTGGTCACGTGACTAGTATTTTTGGTCACGTGACTAGTAAAATACACTAGTATTTACTAGCGGTATAAAAACGTTTATGAAACACAAATTAGTAGGACAGGTAAATACGGGACTAGTATTTACTAGACTAGTAATTACTAGACTAGTATTTTTATGAAACAGGGCCCTGGTAGTGTCTCGAATGTATTAGTCATGACCACTTAATTATTAACACGTTTGCTGTACGTTTGTGTCCGGAACGTCAGCCGGGCCATTGAGCCAGAAGCTAGGAACGTCCCGGAACGTCACTGTTCATTGTTGTTTAACGTTTCCATGGATCAACCAGCTACTCCAACTCCACACAGCCAGTCCTATATTTCTTTGCAGCTTGTGGGGACGTACTTTTCTGACAATAAAAAATATAGTTTCACACAATCACCACAAGGGTCGTTTAGAACGGGGCTTTGTCCCACCTCTTTCCTGCTAGATAGCAACACTACTTTACCGACTGCGACCTGGGTAGTGCTGCTATCTATCAGAATCAGAATCACTTAGTACTATGTCCATAGCCAGTTTTATTGCAGAACATTGTCATCAGGTATAACTACTGTTGTTTTTACTGTAATTCAGTGTATCGGTGGCAATGTTACGCAGCGGCGAGCATTAGTTCAGCTCCTGGTGCCTTCAGCAGCGAACGTGTTAATGGTCAAGGACAGATGGTCCCAGTTTGTAACCGAACCGACATAAAGCTACTAACATTTTCTCAGGATTGAACCAGCAACTTTTTTATTTCTATGTCCAATAACCACTCTGCTAACTATAAAAAGTATGTGAGTCTTCTTATGATTTCAGTGAGCAGGCTTTTATTATGTTTTACTTATTGAACCTATAATATGAAGTAATATCAGGACACAGTCTGTAAATTCATTTCTTTTTATTTCTGTGTTCTTCATCAGGAACATAAAAACCAGATGAAGGCAATTCATCATTCTATGAATAACATAATGATAATGATAATTGACATTACAAATTTGTGTTGCTGTTATAATAACAAGATGTCTGTATTAGGACGTGGACTTTGTGTGGAACTCCAGAGTATTTGGCTCCAGAAATCATCCAGTCCAAGGGACACAACCGAGCTGTTGATTGGTGGGCGCTGGGTGAGTTTTAGATAAAACTGATTGGTGGTATTAGCTTTCTGATCATTCTCAGTACAGTGGACTCTCGATAATTTGACACTTTTGGAACCAGGAATGTTGGATTACCAAACTTACAGTTCTTACTAAAATTAACTTAAAGGAATGAGATTAAGAACTTTATGTAATAATACTGAGACTATTTACCTGAAAGACAAATTTAATTCACTAACAAAGAATAACACACTAGATGTTGTGTACAAACTAGTACACAACTTCATGGTCTCAGATCTAAAAACTCTAATGTAACTCTTAACAAAAAATAATCAACATATGATCAACAATACATGAAACAAAGTAAAGAATCAAATAAAATAGGGTATCAAATAAATGTTATAATAGGAATGCAATTTTTATATCGTTATTTCCTCTTTAACCATTATGAGTTGGGCATCCCCCCACTATTATTTTAGCTGGTCCCCACACTAATTCGGATTGTTCTCCCGTAGTAGAAAAGGTCTTGCTCTCAGCTTTTCTGTAAAATCTGTGAAACTATTCTTCATACAATAGCCTTCCAACAAACCAGACATATTGATATACACCATGACAACATTAGACACGCATCAGACTCTATCCGTCCAATCCAATCCATAAGCGAATACATTTGTAGAAACAGAAAGGAAACTCTCCACTTAAGGAGCTGCACGATTAAACCTCCTTCTTAAACCCCCATACTAATTAAGCCAACTCTAGCTGCTGGAAAGACTCTTTTTTCTGAAATAGAGTTAACGTAAACAAGACTTGAAAATATGATCTGATTACAGGTTTTGTAAAATGAAACCAATGAAACACTTGTAAATATCTTATAATGATGATGTAAATAACAATGAAATATATCAATATCAATCAAATGTAAGTATATCAATGTATGTATCAATGTAAGTACATACGGTATTCTATTGTTTAAATAGCAATGTGGAGGAAAATCAAGGCTCCTGCCACTTATGAAATGCTTTATGTGATCAGATGTCTATGATATAAGGCATTAACACCCTATTAAACCTTGAGAAATGACTACTAAAAGTTTCCTCGTGGACACTTGTAGCCTTATTTAATAAAAACATGTGTATTTGCCGATCGGCACCTAGTAAAAGTCACAATACCTCAAACACATCTTTCTAGGAACAGATTTAAACTCATTTCGTTCTCCAGAATCCTCCTCCATCACCCTTACATACAGTCATAATGTTAAAATTCACATAACAGGGACGCCAGCCCTGTATCATCTCTTAAATGGGGTACACTCACTATAAATTCCCCCAGTTCTGATCCATTTGTCACCCCTTGTGTTTGGTTTTCTGTTATTAAATTTCTCTAATGAGTGTTTAGTTTTTACTTATTGCTTTATATCCAAACGGTATGTATATACAATTACTCTGGTTGTCTATAATTTCACTACCGGTACCCAAAAACTCACAAATCATCTCTCGTGTTTTAAAATCTATTGTTAATTAATTGAAGTGAATGGAGAAATGCGATTGGATGTAGAAAATGTGCATAAGGGGTGGAGGGAGCTTGCACAATTCTTTACCCGGCGCAGGCCGGCTGCAGTTGTTCACAAATTTTGTTTTTGGAAGTAACCAGTGCCATATTGAAGGTACTTGCGGCTCTAGGCCAAATTACTTGAGCAGCCCCCACCCCACTGGGAGAAATTCCCTGCAATAGCGGTGAAATATTGAAAATGATGTCCAGCGGGCCACAATCACGGGAAAATCATCATTGTCCCCCACGATTGCGGAGAAATCGTGAACACTTATCCTAAATCAAGGGAATGTCGTCACACACACCCACGACACGATAGCGGCGGGATCGGGAACACCTCCTTTGGGCTGCAATTACGGGGACATCATTGTTGTCACCTGCAATTACCGCAAACTGATGGTTTGAAAAAAATGTTTATTGTCAATCCTCTACAGCCCCCTCATGCTTGCGGCCCTAGGCCATGGCCTAAAAGGCCTAGTGGTAAATCCAAGCCTGGAAGTAGCCAAAATTACTGAACATTTTCAAGTGAATCGCAATTTGCTATTGCCAGTGATTGCCAAGCTTAAGGATAGGTCTCTTAGACTTCCAAGCACAAATTTAAACCCTGGTAACCTCAAAGAAACCAATGTGGAAACCAAGTTTCTTCAACTTCAATTACTGTCTTGACAGAGAATCAATACCTCTCCGTAAATGTTTGTGGCCTTCTGCACAATCCCTTACTCATGTACATTTTTTAAGTCCATACACTTTTCTCCATGGATATTCGTTAACTGTGGTGATATACTTTAAAACCCCAACGTTACCATCATAACGAAACCATATAAACGTTGTGGGTCATGGAAATGTAATCACAGAAGACGATTCGTACAAGGTAAAAGCGACAACTTTCCTTGTCGTTGTTATTGGTTACTGTGACAAAACTAATCACCGCACTAGAGTGGAAACTGGCTGGAATAGTTATAGGCCTAGCAAAGTAAATAGCCCAGTGTTAGTGTCACATTTAAACTAGCTCTTTTGGCCCTGACTAGAGTTCTTTGGAGACCTAAATTTACTGACAACTATCTTATTATTATAAAGTCTATGCTTGTGAACAGCAACAATTCATATCATAGAATGTGTGAATGGTGGGAACTAGTGGGTGTCTAGTGAGATAAATAGTGTCTATGATTTTCATTCTCACTAACTCAAAACTTTTATGACACCCTCCACTCCCTCTCTGTCTCATATCATTATTAACCATGTTTTACTAGAATGTGATTTGTACGCATTAGTCACATCCAACCACTGACTCAACTAACGGAGACAAACTCAACCGTAAAAATAAAATTACTTCTGCTGAAATAAATTAATTACTTCACACTGTGCTACTATCATAAAGCTTGTCTACTTATCATGGTGTCAAATATATACCTATTCTAAGTCTGAACTGAATCTTGTAGTTTAAAATTACATATTAACGGTTTTTTATCATTGATTGTTTTCTTAATCAGTAAGTTCTTTGTTTTTATTGTTTGTTTCTTCTTTTTCAGGAGTGCTAATTTATGAGATGCTTGCTGGCTACCCACCATTCTTTGATGATAACCCTTTCGGTATATACGAGAAGATTTTAGCTGGCAAAATAGAATGGCCGAGAAACCTGGATCCTGTTGCAAAAGATCTGATCAAGAAACTTCTGGTGGGAGACAGAACAAAGAGGTTAGGGAATATGAAGGTAAGTAAAATGCTGGTTTTTCTGTTATCTGTTATCTGTTTTCAACTATCCTAGCATTGTCACAAAATGAAACATAGACATACTCCATTGTAGATGCATCACTCTTGGATAAACTCAATTTTGAAATGTATCCTCAAGCACATTACCATGTTAACATTCCATGTGCGTGGAACGTATTCAGCAAAGCAAGGGGTGAGCCGGGACAGTACAAAGGTGAACCGTACTGATAAAAGTTAGTGGCAGTGACCAGGATCCGAACCCACGACACTTCTGCCTTGGGCCCGAAGTCGGCGACGCTATCGACTGAGCCACCGACTCACCAATAAATTTAAATCAACCAATCTAAATCAAGTGAAAATAACTATTTCTAAATACTAAATAGTTCCTCTAATAACAAAACCACAGAGACTGTCCATGCTTCAAAAACTACCCTAAAATAAGAGGCAAAAATTATTAACTCGACATCAATGCACACAAGTGGGACCAAATTGCAGATCAATCATATTTTGATTGAGTTGAGATTATTTATCTTACGAAGTTATAGTTGTCGCTCACTCCGACACTTTGTAATCCAATGTATTCAGTTGTCTAATGTGCCCTTTGTCAGTCTTATCAGAAAAAAAAAAAAAACACAAAGCAACATGAATCTCCTCCATCTGCACTAACGTCTCTTTGTCTGTAACGGCAGTGTGTGGCCTAGTTTTAATAAATTACATCAACTCTTCCCACCAGCTCAGAATTACTAAAGCTCCTTAATAGTTATCACCACAAATCAGCAAAAAAACAACGTTTTGTGTAAAGAAATAGGTTACCATATTTTTTTGTCAGTTTTGTTCATGGATATTCTGAGACCAAAGAGATGTTCATGACTTTGGGCGATCGTATGAAATGAGGATGATGTCCTCACAAACACAGAAGATGTCACGATTCTGCCACTATTGTGAGAGATGTTAATGTCCTCGTGAAGGGGCAAGATGTTCACATATATGGATGGATACGTGGATATGTCCATGAGTTCCTATAGATTTACCTTCACCACAACTGCAGGGGACTCATCCAATTATGTCGTGACCGGTGTTAATTTTCTTTATCATTTTGTTGAAATTTACTTTATGTCTTACAACACAGAATCAAGAAAAATATGAGAAGTTCTGTTTTAGTTGCAAATCATAGAAATATTCATTTTCTTTGATTTGTTACAGAATGGTGCTGATGACATAAAGAGGCATAGATGGTTCAAGGGTGTCAACTGGCAAGATGTGTGTCAGAGAAGACTCAAGGTTGGTTAACTGTTATATAACAAATATTTTATAGCTTATTACTAAAATAATTTTAAAAATATAACAGGTGGATTTACTCAAATCTATTCAGATCAATATTTTCACAATTTCTCTGAAAAAACCGTAGTCATTCATGATTTAGCTAAGCTGTGGTTGTGGGTGATGACAATCATGTCCCTGCGATCACAAAATGTGTCAACACAGATCCGAAATTTAGCCAGCCGTACACAGATCCCAAATTTAGCCAGCAACAAAGAAAATTTAAATGCTAAAACTATTTGTGTTTAATTGGCTTTGCAACATTTTTCTTGTCAAAACATTAAACCAATGTATTTTTATGACTTTAAATGACCATATTGCTCTGGCACAAGAGCGTGAATTCTTGACAAGATCAAATAAACGTTATCAGCAATCTGACACATACTTTCTCCCATAAGCTTGTCAACTACCTTTATCATGGGTAAGTGGTGGGAGTAACTATAATATTTAACAGGGAAATTCACAAAAGTTGCAATATCTTTTGAACCGTGTTGCACTATTTTGTTTAGTTATAAGGACCAAAACACATTAATTTAATCAAATAACCCAGTATTTTCCTAAAATCATTTTTTTTATTTTATGGGGTTTTTTATGGGAATATAACATATGTTACAATAACTTTTGAACCATAACTTTTTATAGAAATGGAATAAATTCATACCATTTTATTCAGAATTTAAAGGATTATAACATACTTAATTTTTATCAAAATCATTCGGCCATTATTGAGAAAACCTGATTCGTCCTTTATTTTTATCTGATTACCTGCAGCGATTGTAGTCATATCGTGATCGTGAAAATTTTTTGCGATATTGCAGAGACATCTTAATCATTTCCCGTGCTCTTCATCATCTACAACAAAATTGTTAGCATCTGGCAATCTCTAAGACATTACCATGGCCATATCGGCAGGATAATAGCTATGTTCGATTTAACTTGACTTGGTTCTAAATGACCCGAGCTTTTATACTATAGTCCAATACTATAGACTAAACCTAGCCTATAGGCTCAACTTGGTTTGAAAGTCGAGCCGTGCACACACTTTTAATTTCTACCCTATACTTATGTATACCAATATAAATTATTTTATACTTTTTTTTAAATTCTAATATAATTTCAATTGTTAGCAGCACAGACTCCTCACATTCAAAAGCCTGATATAAGTTTTCCATGAGGGCTGCAACAGCTGTAATGGTTAATTGAGTTTTCTAAAACAATGTAGGGAGTTGTTCAATAGGCTGTTAACTACAAAATAATCCATTAGTTGTCTGTTGATGATAGTTTCAAGAACTTTGGAATAATGCTGATAGGATGGTAGCTGCAGACTAGGCTCGCGTCGCCTTTTTAAACACAGGCACTGTCTTTGATAATTTTAACTCATCACGGAAGTAACCTTGATCAAAACACAAGTTGAGAATTAATGCCAGGGGCACAGCCAAATATTTAACTATGCTCTTCAGAAAGTTGGGCGACATGCCGTAAACATCAGCACAAGGTGAGGGCTTGAAATTGTTAACTACTTTCACAGTGTAGTCAGTGGTGACATTATTCCATTTCAGCAAGGAACAAGGTGCAGAATTAAGAATTAACATTGCTGACAGCCTCAGCAGAACAGGGTGGAGTGTCCTTGACAATTTGACAGACAGAGTCAACAAAATATTGTTTAAATTGATCGGGATACTCCACGGCACTTTGCACGGGTTTGCAGCCTGTTCTATATAGGCCTACAGTAGACTCCCTCTTATCCGGACTCCTCGAGACCGAGGCCAGTCCGGATAACGGGTTTTCCGGTTAAACCGACGTCCCCAAAAACTTAATAGGTAGCCCAAATATTTGACTTAAATTATTTAGGAGAGCATTGTTTTTAGACACCTAATCACTGGTCTCAAATCTTTCCCACGAGAACAGTCGTTTCAGTACAGCCCACTTCCTGCCGATCTAGTCCGGTTAAACCGATGTGCTGATAAAAATTGTCCAGTTAAAGAGATGTCATTTCCGCCAAGTGTAGTCCGGTTAAACCGATGTCCGGTTGAAAGGTGTCCGGATAGGAGGGAGTCTACAGTAACTAGCATTTGAAGTTCTCTTATCTACGCCTACAGCTAACTTAAACTGCTTCTAAGTTTTAAAGTATAGACTAATAGACTATATGCCGTAACTTATTTTGTTCCACTAAGTTACTCTGTAGTTTGCATTTGTCGTGCAGCAACAATACCCATGCTCTAAGAGTTCTAACCTCCTTTTTCTTCTTCCTAGTTCCTTTGTTCCTTGTTCTTCCTTGTTCTCCTTGTTTCAAGTCTATAAATTTGGAATCACTAGGGAGGGGGACTTTGCTTAGGAAATTTTGTTCCATTGAGAAATGAATTTCTCCAGTAATCTGTTAGGGGATTTTTTATTTAAACAAGATAACAAAATATGTCCACCATTGGTTGTGACCGAGGATAGTTTGGGTAATTTACAATTCTGCCCCAACTGCAGAAGCTGTTTAATCCTTTATGGTCACATTTATTGTTCTCTTTTCCTTTCCTTTAGATTGGGAAGGCCACACTTAGTGGCCCTCTCACTTTATTTAATGACACTACATTTTCAGTGCTGAAGGTAGCTCCACAGCTTGGGCCAGCCACGTGTAGTGGCCCTCTATGCGATTCCTGTTCAGCTTGGCTGTCCACCCCATAGTTGTCCCCTGTTTCTCATAAGGACAAAAACAGTAGTTGTAAAACAAAGAACGATGGTGTCAGATTTCATCTAGTATGCTTGGCTGCATCTGAGGCTTGTAGGCGATCCCTTTTACTTGTTATGGATGTCACTTGTATAAAATAATTTTCCAGTTATGTTTCAAATACAAAATTTGATGGGTAATCTGACTCCATGTAATAAGAACTTGTCTATTTCAGCCTCCCATAGTTCCCAGGATAGCGTACGAGGGAGACACCCGCAACTTTGACGAGTATCCTGAGGCCGACTGGAAGTCAGCACCGTGTGTTAGTGAAGTAGATATGAAGCTTTTCGATGACTTCTGATACAAAAGCGAAACACGCACTCCTAGTTCCTAAAGCTATCTTTCGTCCACCACTCGATATTTGTTTAAGCTCATTTTTTATTTCATAGGAGACTTATTTTATGTTGCTAATTTTGATTGTGATACAGAAAAGGCTTTGGTAGTCTTTTAGATAGCCAAGCTTTATACATAGCATTCAGAGCTTTATGTTATAGATTTAAGCTAGTGAAATTTGTATATACAAACGGATAGTTAGCGTTGTTTTAATAATTTTAAAAGTTTGGTATATGTTTTCATTTGTTTATTGTTAAAAAATATGGTACATTTTATACTAGAAACAATGATAATTTTTGAAAACTTTTACAATGAAACTTTTACCAACTGTGCCAAAAAAGTGGAAATATAATTGTTGACTTAACTATTTGATTTCCATGGATGAACCACTTGAAACTAAATACCCAAATCCTTAGTTTTTCTTACACAGACATCAATATCTTATCATTGAATCTAAAAGCTTCCTATTCTAATGCATACTTATCTTTTAAACCTAATACTGAATTAAACAATATTAATGTCCCAGGAAAAACCCTGTATAAAGTACTTCTTGAACTTTTTAAGGAGACTTTTTTTTCACTTTTTATAAATTGAAGTACGGTACATAAACATGTAATACAAACATACATATAAATAAAGACAACCGTAATGAAAAACGTATGGCTAAAAACAAAATGTAAACCTAAACAAGAATGTAAGATTGTAAGATGAGTTTGTCTTCACATTTTATAGTAGCACACCATGTAAACACCAATTGATTAAGTGTTTTAAGGCACTTTTAGAACAAGTTTTATAGGATTTGGTGTTTTGTCAAGGTTTAGTTTACTGTACCAGTAATAACATTGTATTATGAAATATACTTACATGAAAAGAGTAGATGTGTTTTTGCACAATATAGCAAGGGTATTTTTCTGTAAAACAATATATGGGCTACATCAAGTATACTTTCAAGGGCATCTTTCAAACTTATAACTATTGGATATGCTCAGTTCTGTTTTAACACGTTCGCTGCGGACCATCAAACAGCAGGCGTAGCCCCAGTACGGCGCAGCCCGCAGCGTCGAACAAACCCGATTGCCGGGTGATTGGCTCTCATATTTCGGTATGACGAATAGCAAATAACGTGCGGTGATGTCCTGTTTTATAACAAGAGTCGACGTAGTTCGCTAAACACTCACATATAGCAGCACTGCTTGGAACGTAGCCGGTCCCATCGTATTAACAATTGGAGGGAGAAAGACGGGACAAAAAGTTGATTTTTAAGTTTGCCAGACGGGGATTTTATGGGGAAATTTTACTACCAACCTACAACACAACAAAAAGCAAGTCACCCACTACACGCTAACGTGGAAACATTCTGCAAAGGGTCGTAAACAAACGCACGTGGCGCGCTCGCCCACCCCCATCCCGCCCCCCCTACTGATAACGCGACAAAAATAGAAACCAAGGTCACCACGGTCATTCAACTGTGTCAACGCAGGTGGCTACAAAGTATTAGTTCGAAATATCAAACGGCTGAGCCACAGGAAAATATTGAAGTTCAGGAGGACCCAAGTATCCATATGGATACCGCCGCCTCTACGTGATGGACTCCAGGTATCCATATGGATACCGCCGCACCCAATGTGTTAGAACTAAATTAAAATTCTGTAAGATGGTAACAAAACCCAAACAGAATTGTGACTCCTAAAAAGGATTGACAAATGTTTTATAGTGTTTGAAAAATAATGCACCCTTAAGAACGTTAACAAATTGGATTTCAATTTCAAAATCGCTGCTTTGAAAAATTTTTGAGATAGCCAAAATTTTTATTGTTGCGTAGTTGTAAATATTCCAATGCCTGTATACGCTTACCATTATCTCAGAAAAACACAGCTCTCCTATTATATGCCTATATACAGAAGTGTTTTTTGGAAAAGCAGAGTCAGAACACCATTTCTGCCCCAACTCACCATTGAGATAACTTTTATGTGTTGAGAATTCAGTTAGCTTTCGTGTCAAGATAACAAATGAAAGTTTCCATTGTTAAATTACTATAAAACATATAGATTTTTATTTGGCTAAGAACACCCTTGCTCTATTGTTAGTGAATAAGATTACAATTTCATCCAGTTGTGCAGTATTTCAAGAAGATTTGTTTATATTTGTATTTAACTGTGATCATTTATTAGTTTTTTAAACTCAAAGAGTTATATTTAATTATTTAGTATTTGTGTGTCAGTACATTAAATTTTCACATGAACAATAATAGTTTTGTACAGTGTAAGTTAATGTGTCTTAAAAATAAAACAAGGTTAGTTTTATACAGAGTGTTTTCCTTCCTTTTCAGTTTTAATATTAGTCCAGTCAATAAAGGGATTGTAGAGGACATGGAGAGGGGGAAATTTTTTTTCTGCGGGAATGTGTTCGGGGTAGTTAGAAGATAAAAATACCAAAAGTCCCCGCCCCTGGCCCTGCTGCTTCAACGGGGGGAGGGGGGGAAAGACCCCAATTTTTAGTTTTTTACTTCTACACTGAAAACCGTGCATCGTACGGAAAAAATGTAAATCATAAAAAGAAAGATGATGAAATTCTTTACAAGAATGGTCATATTCATTTCTTCCGTATATGCATTAGTTTAAAAGATATTCTCAAAATAATATAAAAATTGTTAAATAAATTGATTTTCACGTGTTTTTGTCAAATAAGTTTATATAATCCATTAGCCTGTTGTTGTTTCACATTAATTAGGATAGAAAACAGGTTTTTGAACACTAACCTATATAATATAATATATCAATCGTATATATTGTGTTAAAAATAGTTTATATAAATTTAAATAAATTATGTATATTTGTCATGGAAACAAGTAGTTTTGGCATAATTATTACATTAAAAATCAAAAAGATTATGTTTGTAGCTATGTCCAGGTTTATCTATAACAATTACTGAAACCAAGACTTAATACTATTGTTCATGGTCTCTCCATAATCCAATTCTTGTTTATTAGACTCAATATCTATACTGTTAATATTGTTCTATGAAATGGCAACCATACAAAGTAGGTATTTTAAGCCAAGTGTGAATGGAGATGAGTGTAGGATGAGTGGCGCGATCTTGTAGTCTTGTTAGTGACTAAGACCGACTTATTCCTTACACACAGGTTAATTAATAGCCCATACAGCTAATGGCAACTAAGGGACCTACAGTTTATAGTGGAATCCGAACCACATTTTTGCCTTGGTAATTACGAATTGGTCTAATTATCAGGATAGTACTGCGGATAGTCGTAGTACTCACCCGTGCGGACGTTAATCCACACCAGGGAGTATCGCATCCACGTTGCATGCATATAAATATCCACAATTCGTATAAGAGTGGTGACATAACCGTATCTATATCATTATTATAGACATTTTTGATGTTAATATAAATAATATTTATGCTTAGAACATAATAAACTCTATAATTATATATTACCCTCATACGTGAGCCCAAAACGTTTAATTTGAGACTTAAATAAGGTCTTTCGGACAATTACTTCAAAAGATACAGCAAGAAATCTAAATTTCCAAGATAGCGGCAGTTTTTTTTTCAAAATGGCGGCCGTTCCCCAACTGGGATTTCTTGGTACTTTGTGTGGGCCACTCAGGACATTGTTTTGAACATTTCCACCAATTTTCAGCCGGTTATCAATTTTGTCCGGGTCATAACCTAATTGCACTGGACTAATAAATTTAAACTATACCATATACAAAGATAGTTTCTAATCAGAACTCCCCCCCCCCCCCAAGGGACCGCCACTAGTCAGTAGATATTCATTTGAAAAGAGACACCAAAATTATAGTAACCAGGAACAGTTAATCCCTTAACCAAGTTTTTTGCAAATGTACTCAAGATTATAACAGTGCCAGATGTGCAATTTGTGCATGCAAGAAAATGTCCAATAAGAGTTCTCCATTATGCCAGAACTGCTAAGGGATCTTTTTACATGAAATGCCCATTCTGATGAATGAGGAAGATGAAGAATATACAGGCCTACACCGAATTCTCACTTTGATAGCCAATATTGAGGTTAATCAACAAGAATTGAATGATGGAGATGGAGATGTCTTAGATGGTGGTTTTCAGTTCCAGATGGCACCAGTTTTTGGAACAGAAGTCGGACCCTCTCGTCCCAAGTGAGCCAGATCATGAACAATAATATTAAGTCTTGGTTTTGGTAATTGTTATAAATAAACCTGGACAAATATAGCTACAAACATAATCTTTTTAATTTTTAATATAATAATTATGCCAAAATTACTTGTTTCCATGACAAATATATATAATTTATTTAAATTTATATAAACTATTTTTAACACAATATATACGATTGATATATTATATTATATAGGTTAGTGTTCAAAAACCTGTTTTCTATCCTGATTGATGTGAAACAACAACAGGCTAATGGATTATATAAACTTATTTGACAAAAAAACGCGTGAAAAATCAATTTATTTAAGAATTTTTATATTATTTTGAGAATATCTTTTAAACTAATGCATATACGGAAGAAATGAATATGATCATTCTTGTAGAGAATTTCATCATCTTTCTTTTTATAATTTACATTTTTTCCGTACGATGCACGGTTTTCAGTGTAGAAGTAAAAAACTAAAAAATGGGGTCTTTCCCCCCTCCCCCCGTTGAAGCAGCAGGGCCAGGGGCGGGGACTTTTGGTATTTTTATCTTCTAACTACCCCGAACACATTCCCGCAGAAAAAAAATTTCCCCCTCGCAATGTCCTCTACACCCCCCTTTTGAGCATTCATTGACTGGACTATATCTCCTTAGATTCCGTTTTCCCCTTAAACATTATTCTACAGTAGATTTTTCTATTGTTAAGAATATTTAAGATTGGAACCTTGCCTTTAAAAATATAAATACCATAAAAATTTAATGATCCTTGGGTGCAGCCCCATGTCACACTTCATGACTAGGGTTTGAAGGCGCTGGTCTCTGACAATGCACCATCAGCCCTTCTGCACAGTAGGATCAGTCTCAGGGTCTACCAGTGTGGGTCGGCACAGAGAGGTAAGGTACAGAGGGAACATCATGGGAAAACCGTGCCCTTTCAGTTCTGGTAGGCCTATGTTGAGGCAGAATAATACTTATCACGAGTAAGGGAGAGCCCAAACAGCGAGCACACTTTGAAAATTCCCAGGGTCTTTCTCCTCTGTGAGTGTTGTAATACATGAGGGCCTTTGCCCTAGACACCACTTAAATGTACGCCATTGCATGTCTCTCTCTGTCCTCTCTTCCTTACTTCTCTGTGGGGTAGGTCAAAATGAATACGGAAAATTTGATGAGGGCATGATGAAAGAAGAGTGACGGGAAAGACCAAAGATTTTGAGGACCAAGCCAAAGATAAGAATAAAACTTAGTGCAGAAGAAAGTTGAAAGCATGAAGATAAGGATCTTCCAAACCCTGTGACCTTTTTTAACGATGCGGGAAAGCTGCAGTCCTATTCTAATCCGGGAAACCGCACGGGAAAAAACTCTAAAGGAAAAGAGCAATAACATTTACTTACAAAAAAAAGTAATTAAAAAAACCTGCATATAATAAAAATTATTTCAGGATTGTTAGGCCCCGGCCACACGAGGCGGTTAAGTTAAGGCGGAAGTTAAGCCGCGCGAAGTTAAGGGGGTCGACAACACATTGAATCAAATGAGAGTGGCCACACGAGGCGAAGTTAAGCCGCATGTGCGGTTGAGCCGCGCCATGTCGTCCCTCGACCGCGCGAAGTTAAGCCGCGTTGGAGGGGATGACACATGCAGTCTTATGAGGTGGCCACACGATACGGTTCGACCTTGTGGCAGAAGCGCTTATTGGAGATATTCTTCGGACATTTCCAATGGTTTTTGAGTTTGTTTCGTGTGTTTTTTACCAGTTGTGTGGTGTTTAAACCATGTTTGATACATACAAACTCCGAACTATGGTTTCACATGTGCTCGTAAAAGGTTTAGAACACAAAATTGGTTTTTCCGTTATGAAGGGATGGACCCAATGATTTATGTTAACATTTGGTTCTAGATTACGACAAGCCTCTAATGCACAAACTAAGTGTTTCGTCCATGATTAATAAGAGTTAACTGAACTATGTGTTAATAGAGTACTGATACTGGGAAAACCCAACAGGATTCACGTGGCCAGGCACTTCGCGCGAAGATAAGCCGCGCGGCTTAAATTCGCCTCGTGTGGCCGGGGCCTTATAACATGTATTCCAGTAAATGGCCACTATTTATCTGGTAAATTATTTTAAAACTGTATTCTCTGTAATTCTGGTTATAGTGTACACACATGATTTCTGATGAGATTTTGTATTTCCTGACAAGCTCTTAACCATCAGAAAACATTGTTTCCAAAACATTGAAAGAAAATTGATTTAAATCTAGATAATAAAAGACTGACACATTGGTCATTCACTGGTTATACCCAAATTTGGGACCCAGTAAATGAGCGGCTCCTTAAATAATTGCTGGTGCGTATTTTGATCTTTAAATAAGTACAGAAGTGTACCTTGACATATTACTGTGTATTACGTATAGTATATATATTATATTGCATCAATAATCAAAGAACCATGACAAATACAACCAACCCTCTTTGTAGGAGACTCTATAGTGGGAAGCTAGAAGATGAACTGGTTAAAACACTTAATTTTTTTGTGTTAGCAAAGGATGATTGGCACTTCATTTTTGAACCAGTGATAGAGTTGATTGGAATCAGGTTCCAAAGTTACTTATACCATTTGTGATAGACAAGGCAAAACAATAAGCTCAATATGCTCAGTATGCTCGATGTTTGTATACGAAATAGCCATTCACTGGTTTACTCATTTTACAAAAAAAAAAAGAGATGTTAAAAAGGAGAGGTGTTTAATAGTACGGTATATTTCAGACCTAGGGCTGAAAATGAGGTTTTGCGTTCTCAAGATGAAGTTAACAAAGTCGAGAACTTGTAACGATTGAGAGCTGCAAAACCCATTCGGCCAGTGGTACGAACGATATTTATCAACACAGTATACAAAATTGAGAAAATATTTACAACAAATGCACACAATTTCAGCTTGTGAAGCACATGAAGAAATATTTAGATAAATCAGCAAAGATAATAAATAGTTACTAGACAGTGGTGACAATAAAACAAGTCTATTTCAATGCAATATGTATACACAAGCAGTATCCATCCCAAATAACAATGACAGTTGGCATGGACAGCAATACTTAGCTTTCAGCCTCCAATTAACGTTTGTAAAACGGCTAAAAATATCATAGT